CTCAGCTGCTGTAACGGCTAACAGGCTAACAGGTGTGCAGGGGTGCGTCATATGCGAGCACCTTAAATGGAGCGCGATTTCCGCCAAAGATTTGGAAATTGGTCCTTGCGCAAAGCATTGTGGGGATTTTAAGACCGCGGAGTCTACACATGTGCAGCCTCGAAATTTCTCGCTAAGAAGTACGCCGGCCTCCGTAGAATTCCAAGTATGCTGGACATTGGAAAAGTCCTTCGGCGGCACTCAATGACGTAGCATACTTGAAATAGTGGCTCTGGAGCAGCCTTCCTCGACATTGAGAAACACCCGCTGTTTGATAACTGGCAGTCTTCTTCTTTCCTGTATTTCTTGCCTGTTTTTCATGCTGTTTTTGCCACATCAACGTGGTTTTGAGTTAGTTTTCAGGTTTAACATACTTTAAAATAATTAATTTTATAAGCATTTATTTTGTGCATACAAGGTTAAAGTTAATACCATACAAACCTAAACAAACTACTAACTTGTCTTCCATCTGATCCTTCTTTATCTCAGGTCACATCGTTGCTCAGACGCGTCCTCCCAGAGGTTACACCAGTGCGACTCGCCAGCATCATTGGAGTGAAGGCGCTGCCACCTGCAGACATCAGTGACATCATCCACTCCACAGAAAAGGGCGACTGGAACAAGCTCTGCATCCTCGACATGTTCCTGGGCTGCATCGCAAAAGCCCTCACCGTGCAGCTGAAAGCCAAAGGTACCACCATCGCTGGCACCGCCGGCATGGCAGCGGGCAAAGGGGTCACCACCGTCACGCTGCCCATGATCTTCAACTCCAGGTGAGTTTCTGATGGACTTATCGAAATATGTGGTACAAAAAAAAACATTGTGTCGGTGATGCTAAAGTCAAATATAATGTGCTATCTAAGGATAGGGCAAAATGTCAAGTAAGAATGAAAATCGATGACCCTCCCGCTAACTTCCTTGGTAATGGTTTACAGTCTACAAATCAATACCATGGTGGTTTTTTTTCGATCAGAATTTGGAGATGTTATTATTACTGTAGACTTTAAACATTAATTGCAATTTCCTTTGATTTTCATATTTATTGCCCCTTTCTTTCTTACTCAGCTACATCCGCAGGGGAGAGAGCCACTGGTGGATGAAAGGCTCCACTCCTCCTCAGATAGCAGAGATCATCATAAAGCTGGTTAAAGACATGGCAGCTGTAAGTTCTCTTTGTTTAAATCTTCCTTCCCCTTTGTACTCTCTGTGAGCCAAACTGCATATGGATACCCATTTGTCACACTTGGAATAGTACCTCTCTAAAACTCCTTTTTGCTGTTTTTAGGGACACCTTTCAGAAGGCTGGTCCAAAATCACCAAAAATGCAATAGCTGAGACCATCATAGCACTGACCAAAATGGAGGAGGAACATCGGTCTCCTGTACGCTGTATCGCCACAACAAGGGTATGGACTCAGATGTCACACACATACACAACACATTGATCTATTCTTACTGGGTATTTGTAACTTATACTGTATCCCCTATTGTGTCTTACAGCTGTGGCTGGCCTTAGCTTCACTGTGTGTGCTGGACCAGGATCATGTGGACAGGCTGTCCTCCGGTCGCTGGATGGGCAAAGATGGACAGCAGAAGCAGATGGTGAGAAAGAAAAACAATAGCTACACTGTGTGAAAAAGTATTTGACAGGTAATCCAAAATAACACATTGATTTCCTCTTCCATTGATCCACAGCCTATGTGTGACAATCATGATGATGGAGAGACGGCAGCCATAATCCTGTGCAACATGTGCGGCAACCTCTGCACCGACTGTGACCGCTTCCTCCACCTGCACCGCCGCACGCGCTCTCACCAGAGACAGGTGAGGGTCGGCTTGATCTGCTGCTGATGAGTAGTTCATGAATGCAATAAAACTGAGCTTTTGTTTCATTTGAATGTTTTTTGTAGGTGTTCAAGGAGGAAGAGGAGGCCATAAAGGTGGATCTCCATGAAGGCTGTGGGAGGACTAAGCTCTTCTGGCTCATGGCTCTGGCCGACTCTAAGACTATGAAGGCTATGGTGGAGTTCAGAGAGCACACAGGTAATGAAGCAGATCATGCCACTGCTCTTCTGATAGTAGATTACTATAAGTATTGTTGCTTATATGGGTCATCTGCTTAAGTTGCGCAGTTATATTTACAGTAATGTCATTATTTCTGTAGGTAAACCAGCCTCCAGCAGCTCAGACGCCTGCAGGTTTTGTGGTACGAGGAATGGGACGGAGCTGTCTGCAGTGGGCAGCGTCTGCTCAGACCCAGACTGCCAGGTAATAAGCATCAACTTCTCTGATTGAGCAAGTCTTATACACAAGATACATTTAAAGTAATATAGAGTTACAGTAGTGGTAAAGTGAACATGTTATATGTACTGTTGTTTTCTCCCCCTAAGGAATATGCTAAACTGGCCTGCAGTAAAACTCATTCCTGTGGACACCCCTGTGGAGGAGTCAAGAATGAGGAGTGCTGCCTTCCCTGTCTGCACGGCTGTGACAAGAACACTAGCTGTCTGAAACAGGATGCAGACGACATGTGTATGATCTGCTTCACAGAGGCCCTCTCTGCTGCTCCTGCAGTACAGGTAGCTCTAAATATACATGCTAGTCCATTATGGGGAAGAGTTTGTCTTTATTAAGCTTGCTCATTAACTCGTTGTGTTCTTCTCAGCTGGACTGCACTCACGTGTTCCACCTTCAGTGTACTCGTCGTGTTCTTGAAAATCGCTGGCTCGGGCCCCGAATCACGTTTGGCTTCATGTTGTGTCCCATCTGTAAGGTAAGATGTTACCTGAAGAAGTAGAGTGCTTACATGCTTTGTTAAGCAAAGCTACTGTGTGACTGTATGATTGATGTGTTCACAGTCTTCATTGGGAAATGCCTTTGCCACATACAGTAACCTTATTTTGTTGTTTGCCTCCAGAACAAAATCAATCACTTGGTGATCAAGGACCTGCTCGACCCCATTAAGGAGCTTTATGATGACGTGAGGAGAAAGGCTCTGATGAGGCTGGAGTACGAAGGTCTACATAAGAGCGAGGCGATAACTACACCAGGAGCCCGATTCCACAACGACCCTGCAGGCTTTGCCATGAACAGATATGCATACTATGTCTGCTTCAAGTGCAAGAAGGTACTATATAACATTAAGTCATATTTCAAATGAATGTTGGTCAGGAGTTGAAAATTAATTTATGATTGCCCTTTTACCCAGGCCTATTTCGGAGGAGAGGCTCGCTGCGACGCGGAGGCGGGACAGGGCGATGACTACGACCCCAGTGAGCTGATCTGTGGAGCATGCTCAGATGTCTCCAGGGCTCAGGTGGGTCGATTACTATAGCCAATAGTTTGGGCATTTTGGAAAAATGCACTTATTCTCTTTATCGCCAAGTGTGAGATGAGAAGATTGGTACCACTCTTGTGTTAATCCGCATACCTTTGCCCAATGACTTAACATTGGGGAAGCAGCTAGCCTACCTCAGTGACAACCTTGACTCTTTTAATCACTGCCATTTTGTAAAAAACAAATACCTAATTTTCACACTGCAGGGCAGCTCCTATGTTCGCTTATTTATGGTTTCAAGCATAACCTTTCTTCATCAGACTCATGTGGCCACTGTAAAACATGATACGGTCAAATTAAGAAATCACTTAAGCTGGGTATCTATTGTGACCATTTAAAAAAAATGCTGCTTATATTGACTCTTTCCCTGATGATTCTTGTTTACTTTTCACCAGATGTGCTCCAAACATGGCACAGACTTCCTGGAGTATAAATGTCGGTACTGCTGCTCTGTGGCCGTTTTCTTCTGCTTTGGCACCACACACTTCTGCAACGCCTGCCATGATGACTTCCAGAGGATGACCAGTGTCCCCAAGGAGGAACTGCCTCATTGTCCTGCAGGTGCTTAGCTATGCATTAACTTCTGTACAATTTTACATTTATCAGACTTTTTGCAAATACCAAACAGAAATAACTATTAAGAGATAATAATTGAGATGTTATCCTCTTCCTTTCTATCACAGGGCCCAAAGGCAAGCAGCTGGAGGGTACAGAGTGCCCTTTGCATGTGGTTCACCCACCGACGGGGGAGGAGTTCGCCCTGGGCTGTGGGGTGTGCAGAAATGCCCACACCTTCTAACCAACAGAAGACTTTTATTTGAAAACCAGTTTGTCTACTGTGATTTCTGGCTGCTGCTGAAGCTCAGCCGTGAAGCTTGGCTCTTGCATTGTCGGGTCTCCTGGACTGGATCAGGTTTCCTCCCTACGCTGAGAGTACTCAGGTCTGCTCTTCTACCAACATCAGTAACATGGGGCTCTGATACCATCCTTTAGATTCAGAGTTACCTGAATGGAAAAAAGGAACAATAGATTTTAAAAAAGAAGAAAAAAAAAGAAAATATCTTGTGACGTGTTTGCATGCGGCCGTTGTATTCCCTCGGCTTCTATAGACGTTGCACACCTCCTGATCACTGAAGTGTATCAATACCAGATTTAACATTGAATATGAGAGGAATTTGCTTAAAGGCAACTGTGGATCAGCGTGGGTTTAAAAAAAAAAAAAAGGAACAGGCCGTATTTCCAGCTTCCTAACTATACATTTAAATTTAAATATTGTTGTATGTAAACTTTTTTCGTAATCTTGTACAGTATTCTCCACTGTCAAGTGCATCATGGGTTGACGGACAAAAAAAGAAGGTGGAAAAGACTGTTAAGAATATTATGTTTGGGAGGAAAATAGTGTACGATTTATCTAATCTTGTATATATGATACTATTCAAAATAGCTGTATTCCGAAGTTGCTACTCTTCACTTCAGTTTTGTTTGATATTCTGGGTTATGTTTTGAGCCAGAACTTTTAATGAAGTGCAATACTGGGTGTGCCTCCTATTTTGCAGCTGTTTAACCTATGGAATGTATGTCAATAAAGCCACTGTACATTTTTATACAGTAGACAGTCGTAATTCCCCCTCTTCTTAATGTCAGATCTCTTCTGTTGTCTGGATATGAAAAGGTTGAGCCTGATGCCCGCAGTGAATGATAGTGGATGTAAATCTTATTTGGAGCTCTGTCAAAACATGAAAAATTACCAAAATCCTACAGTAATACAAAACAAACAAAAGACCTCGCAGTGAGACTGAATACGGCTGAGTGATACGAGGGGCCAGTCTTCACACCAAATACAATTGTGCACCTGTAATGTTTTTCCCTAGTAGGAGGCATCGGGATCGGGGGGGTCAGGGGAACAGAGTGTGGAAAAAAGCTGCTGTTATATAAAAGCTTAATACTTGTGAATCTGCTCTGTAATATCTGTGGTGGATGGAGTTGAATGGTAATAAACCAGGTTCTCTGTTTCGCAAAGTATACACTGTCATTCATGAGTGGTGACATTCCCATTAAATTACCTACAGTCACTGTTGGCCTTTGATTGTTTTATATGGAACACATGCAATGTAAAATCTAGCTAGAGACTCAAATTGTTCATTATTTCTGTAAATATATTATTTGAAAGGCTGAAAGAAACTATGAAAATATAAAAATGTATTTCTTGTGATGCCTGTACATCTTTTTAAGGGCTCCATTACATGCCGGTGTGATCCAAGTTTTTCCTAATATATGCATTTTTGCTGTTTGTTACCAAAATCCATGTTTGCATATGGGAGGAGAACTTGTGTACGAGGGCTTTGTAATGGGCTAAAGTTGTTCTATTTTAATGGTTGCTTTTGGATATTTTGCTTTACTACTTTTTATATTGACTTCATAAATATTGAGGTTAAGATATGAGCAGTGGTGTAAAGTCGCTAAGTACATTGACTAAAGTACAATTTTGAGATACTTGTACTTTACTTGAGTTTTTCCATATTTTGCTACTTTGTACTTTCCTTCCCTTCATTTATTTTTTACCTTTAGTTACTTTACAGATTTTTATCAAGATCTGAGTACTTCTCCCACATCTGGATATTAGTGACGGAGAGACATAAAGTTGAGGAATAAAACAATTAAAATAACCAAAGTAAACCGCTGAAAAAAACTGGAGTCTTCCGAGGAAAACATTTTCATAATCCAAATGGGGTTTTAAAAAAAAATAACACAGTACATGTATATTCATAAAGATTATAGCAACTGTGACATGAAGACATTTTGGTTTTTGCTTTGTTCTTTTATAAGCCCAGGAGTCAGGACATTAGGAAAGGGGTTTTAAAGAATATTATTTAAAGTACATTAAGTCTGAAAAGCTTTGGACACTTTCAACATCCTTTTTTCGTTGTGCCTTTCACAAATATATCCACAATTGCAATGCATAAAGCATAAATAGCATACTTTATAATTGTGTGTACATTATAACCTTCATCTCTATTACCTAATATTGAAGATACACCAAAAGCAGAGACTTTTAGCTGCATTTGTGCAATCAGAAACGGGTCCTCCTTATCCATCAAAAAGGTCTTCAAATAAATCCGCAACACTGTTTGTATTTGTGATATTCTCGTAGATTATATAGTTTGTATTATTTTTATAATGACATATTTGATTATTTGTTATCACTCTCGGGTGAGTCATTAACTGAACAGAGACGATCTTTACCAACAGCCATTTCGCATTGTATCTCCCATGATGCACCGCTGCTGTCACAACAACAACTCCTCGCCATTTCAGAATCAGGGGGGCCGAAACTCCCACCAAGGATTTAAGTCAACCTGTTGGATGAGCCAGACTCGCCGTGTTTATTCATTCAGAAGAATACCTCTTACCTCTTCTCTATCGTCAAACGGCTTAGTTGTTTTCTTCCGATGCGTTTTATTCGGTTGTCGCGAGTGAGCTTTTCCAGCTTGAGCCCGGGCTGAAGTGTCAAAAGTGTTGAACGGATTTTCCTGCTAACTGCTAGTCGGCTAGCTGAGTGTAAACATCAAGGTAGGATAGGTCGCCAAGCTTGTAAGCTGTGTGTGTTGTAGTTAATTAACTCTGTGCGTCATTATGTCAATCAAGTCTAGAGTATTGCATGGGAAAAGTGTCATATAGAGGTAAGGGTTTGCCTAATAGGTAGCTTGAAATATAATGTATTTTGGTTCAAACTAATAAGCTACTTAAGTTTACTGCTACTTGTATTTGCGCTGTCAATGTAAACAAAGTAATGCATTCAATTAACCTTTGCATTAATGCACATAGGAAAGTTAAATTGTCAGCTTTTTATTACAGAATTAGATGGTGTCCTGCTTTATATCAGTATATTGACGACTAGCGTTATATTGATGGCCTCCGGCTCATACACACATCACATCTTATACAGACACCTTTCTTCTAAAATAAGCAAAGTCAGATATCACAATACTGTGGGATTTAACAATTTCGAGAATGTGAGAATGACAGTGATTTTACATGAACATAATTATTTTGTTGTTCTAATTTAAGTCGTATATACATACACATTCAGATGATTCATCGTTAATCATGCAGTGCTGTAATGGTGCAAATATGCTGTGATAAGTATTGAATGACTAATGCAACAGGTTGTTTTTTATACACGGATTTATCCAGCATATGCGTACACATATGTCAATTACATAATATTCAGTTTATAATTTCCTTTTTGATACATGACAAGGATTCATCCATTCACATGTATAGCACACATCTTTATTATATACAAAATATAGTGTAGGCCTATATGGTATAGTATAATAATAAATATAGTGATTTGAGAGAATTAATTCCCCTTTTTAAGATGTGTTTAAATATTCAGATCAAGAATGTCGGGGGAATCAAATGAAATACAACTCAAATCTACAGAAGTCTATAGAGTCATTTTGTAAAAATGATATCTGTAAAACTCCTCAATAAACACAACTGGTTTGCAGTGTTAGATCTATCAATGTTAGGATCTGTCACGCTGTTCCAGGTGAAAATTAAAAAAATGCATGTACACGGTTAAACACATCAGTAGCATATATATATGCTATCATTTCTGATAGCCTACATACTATATATATATATATAGACACACAGAGACAACTTGTGTTTAAAACAGGCAACCTGAAACTAAGTCACTTTTTGGATCTACTTTCAAAATCGTTGAGTTTGATAATCAATATTGCTGCTGTGTAGTTTGACAGGCTTGTGCTTTGTGTTGCTGGACTATAACAAGCTCTATTTTTCCAGGATGAAGCGTATTAAAGGAGGAGAGGAGGAGAGCAAAAGCTCCACCAGTAAGAGCCCCACTGAGGTCTGCAAGAAGGTGCGGAAGCAGACGGACGAGGAGTCGGAGGCAGCGGAGGTCGGAGAGTTTTCGGGGATTGACTGGGCCCGCCTGCCTCAGGAACTCCTGCTCCACCTCTTTCAGTACCTTCCCCTGCTGGACCGGGCCTATGCCTCTCAGGTGTGCCGCAGGTGGAACCAGGCTTTCCACATGCCAGAGTTGTGGAGATGCTTTGAGTTTGAGCTCAACCAGCCAGCCAGCTCTTACCTGAAAGCCACACATCCAGACCTCATCAAGCAGATCATAAAGAGGCACTCCAACCACCTGCAGTATGTCAGCTTCAAGGTAACGGCAGAGAAAGATGTTGTGTGTCAAAACCAACGATTCTGGGCGTGTTCACAATTTGCTACGGCCATCTGGTCAGACATTGTTGTTTTAATGTTCCTGAGGTGATGATTAATCTCTGTTTGTACCTTCCAGGTGGACAGCAGTACAGAGTCTGCAGAAGCAGCATGTGACATCCTCTCACAGTTGGTGAATTGTTCACTAAAGACCTTGGGGCTCATCTCTACAGCCAGGCCCAGTTTCATGGAGGTTCCAAAGGTATAAATAGCACAAACACACAACATATCTGTGTCAGATTTTCAAGGAAAATCAAATAAAGCGAATGCCTTTCCATGGTGGATCATTCAGTGTTTGGCGGAGCCTGTTAATTGTCAGTGGACAGAATAGCGTTTGCATTCTCTTCTTATCAGAGGACGGGGCTGAAAAGCAGTCTCTGTTCCCATTCATTGCAAAGAACAAGGATTCCATTACTTCGAAGGCCTCAGAAGGACACATGATGTTGTCTGGGAAGTTTTATTTTGTCTCTCTTAGTGTACTGTGATCTTCTTCCTATGAACACTTGAAAGCCATTCTGTCCCAGGAAGTTATCACCAGTGTATTATATCATTGATTTGGTCATTAACATATGAAACGTTCACCTACATGTACAGTCAAGTTTATGTGGATCATACATACTTTCATACTAAGATAGGAAGTAAATATTGTCCAGTACAAACCTGAGAAGTCCATGAGGGTTACAGCAACCAAATGGATACAGAAAAAACGATTTTTAAAAGATCTGTGTGTTTCTGTGTGTAACTGAACAAAAACAAATATGCATAAATATGACTCACTGCACATATGGTCCACCATCAATCCCAATATAATTGATTTAAATATGCCCACTCAAATCTGAGACCTGCCATCTTGGTTGCTACTTCTCAAGCTAATTCATGATTACTCTTTGTCCTTCCACAGTCTCATTTCATCTCAGCTCTGACGGTGGTGTTTGTCAACTCCAAGTCGCTGTCCTCGCTGAAGATTGACGACACGCCGGTGGACGATCCGTCTCTGAAGGTGTTGGTGGCAAACAACAGCGACACGCTGAAGCTGCTGAAGATGAGCAGCTGTCCTCACGTCTCCCCCGCAGGTACAGTGAGCGCCCGGACTGCTGCAGCTGTTTCAGTGATCAGGTCGAGAGAAGCAGCCTCCTCATGTTTTTGTTTTGATATTTTCAAGCCATATTCACCTTGTACTTTCAGTCATATTTTTTATTTAGTTTTTCTGAATCACTTTTTTTTAGCCTTATTAATCTTATAATTTTCCTATCATTCTTCATCTTTCATACATTTTCCTGGAACTGTTTTTAAATGTCAGCTATGATAAAGACTGAAAAGATAAGATAAGAAGTACTTTATTAATCTGAATCTGGGAAGTGTTTGCGATGCAGCAGCATAAAAAGACAAGGCATTGTACATTAGAGAAATTAAAAGACTAGAAATAAACAATCCAAAATGTAAACATCTAAAATAGCATTTAAAAAAAGTAGAAAATATGTTGAAATACAAATTTAAAGCACCAAAATATAAAAGCAGGATATTATGTATACAGTACATTAAGTGTGTAAGAAATGGAATATTACATATTAATTGAATATAAATGTCAAACGTACATACATTGTGATTTTAAGTTGGTTATCCAAGAGAAGCTATGGAGCAGAGAGTTCTCTTCCAGCCAGTGGAGATTTGTTATATAGAGTTATTGCAGTAGGCAGGAATATGTTCCTGTACCGGTCATTGTGACAGCCTATTCAACTGTAATCTTGTCTAACAAAACATTACACATCATAAAAACCCATGATGAATTTGAGATCATTTAGAAAAACAACAAGCTGTCTATATTTGCAGGCATCCTGTGTGTGGCAGACCAGTGCCACGGCCTCAGAGAGCTGGCACTGAACTACCACCTCCTGAGTGACGACCTGCTGCTGGCTCTCTCCTCGGAAAAACACGTCCACCTGGAACACTTGCGGATCGACGTGGTGAGTGAGAACCCCGGCCAGCACTTCCACACCATCAGGAAGAGCAGCTGGGACGCCATGGTGCGCCACTCGCCCAAATTCAACCTGGTCATGTACTTCTTTCTCTACGAGGACGAGTTCGGCCCCTTCTTTAACGAGGAGATCCCGGTCACGCACCTCTACTTCGGCCGCTCCGTCAGTAAGGAGGTGTTGGGCCGCGTGGGCCTGCACTGCCCCCGCCTGGTGGAGCTGGTGGTGTGCGCCAACGGCCTGCGTCCTCTGGATGAGGAGCTGATCCGCATCGCTAAGCACTGCACCCAGCTGTCCGCCATCGGGCTGGGCGAGTGCGAGGTCTCCTGCAGTGCGTTCGTGGAGTTCGTCAAGATGTGTGGCAGGAGGCTCTCCCAGCTGTCCATCATGGAGGAGGTGCTGATCCCAGATCACAAATACTCCCTGGATGAGATCCACTGGGAGGTTTCTAAGCACCTGGGCAGGGTCTGGTTCCCCGACACGATGCCCATCTGGTAAAGAGAAGCCGAAGAGGCACGTCTAGTTTGTGGTGGCCTCCATGTTAGCATAGAAAAGCCTTTAAATGCTCAGCTGTAGTGGAATGTGTGGTGCCAACATGGAGAGCGTGAACTGAACTCCAGTCTGGAGTGTAGGGATGTGATGTCATTGCTACACAATGTTTTCATGCCATGCAAACAACCCCAAACATCTCTGCCTGTTAGCTTTACAATAGACTGTGGAACCCCCGCTTTGCCTGATCTGGAGACGGGACTCGCCAGGCGACTTCTTTATATTAAACAAACAGCACACAGAACAGAGCAGGTGGAAATATCCCACTAGAAAAACAATGTTCCTGTAACCATACATGTAGTTATACGGACATTGTTTCCTGATTATGATGAGAGATGTGTGTTTGTGTATGTATGCATATGTGAGTGTGTGTTTTTAACATTGTGGATTCATTTGGGAAGATCAGGTTCACAATTGCTTGTTGTTACACTACCGCTTGGCCTACTTCAATCCAGTCCAGCAGCTTGGCACTATTAACAAGATATCCCGTCTCCAAATGGCTGCAATGTTATGTGCACAGTGTGTGAGAAATGGTGTTTTGTCTCATGTATGAGAGTGTTGTAGGTTTAGTCTATTTGCACAGTTATTAAGAGACATATACCAACAATAGGAAACACTAAATTCAGTGCAGGAGAGTCCTCCCCGTTTATACAGATTGACATTGATACTCATCAGAGACAAAACAGAATACAGCACAACAAAATCTATACTCACAAACTCAAAAGAAAAGCAGATCTAGGATAAATAGATATGTGCAACCAACAGAAGAATATTGCTATATGTTTAAGATGAAGTGAGAAATGTATAACTGACGAATAAGGACGATAACGGTTTCAGTTTCAAGGGGAAGGATTCACTTGGTATTTAAGCAGAAGAAATTAAATTATTAAGAGTAGCAGTTTTGTGCTTTCCCTCCTCGCTTGATCTTCATAATAACACATGATGGTTAAAACAGTTAGACGTTGACTAAGGGAGAAGTGAAATGTGTATATAGGTCTATTTTTGTAACGTGAAGGTGTGCAGTATTGATTATTGTCATGGATTTTGTTGTTTTCTCTAAAGTATGTTGTTGTTTTTTTCTGCTACATGCAAACATTGGCTTGACGAATTATTTTCCCAGTTTTGTTTTAAAGAAGGTTTTTGCACCGTCTTACATTTCCCTGAGCACTTTACGTGAATACCAAATGAAAGTCAGGACAAAACATGTTATGTTGTCCTTTTTGAAAGCACAGAAACAGTATTTTATAAAGCCCTCATTTTGTAGTTCGACCCAGATTGTAATGATAATTCACAGTGTACTGAGTCAGTGCAGTATAGTGATGTTAACAAGCTATAATTACTAAGTAAGAACAGTTAATTCTACTTTAATAACCTGCACAGAAATGTCTGAATTTGGAGGTTGATATTGCTGCTTCGTAAATATTTTGTAGACATTTCTCTGCAGGTATTAGCTTACAATGCATGCTGGGAATGCATATATATTTCCTAAATAGTTTTTTTTGTCTTCGACTATGTGCCTGGCCATGCTCTAAACATTAGCTCTATGTTGTGGATATCTGCCCTCCTGTTAGCGCGTTAGCTCTGTATCGTGTATCGTAACGATAGGAGAGAAAGACGTGTTAGCAGATAAACATCAGAAAGCTAATGCTCCTCAATAACATGTGATTCTTTTTACTTTGGAGAGTCAGAAGAGTGAAACTAACTTTTTTTTCCTTTAAGAAGGAAGTCAAATGCATCTGTAAATAACGCTGTGTGTTTTATGATGAGTAGAAAAGCTATTATTTCTTTATCTCGCCCTCTGTCGGGGTTTTCTTAACCATCGGCTCGTGTCTTTAATAAATTCAGAGCGCGTGTTGTCCTTTTTTTAATGGATTATTTCATGCTGTTCTCACTAGAAAAGGTAAGCTGTAATTTATTGATATGGAAACTGCTTTTGTAATTAATTTGTGTTTTTATGTTGAACAAAAGAAGCAACTTTTATAACCAGCAAGCGGACCAGCAGACTTTATTTTACACCTCCACCTCTGTCAATATGTGGTTGTTGTTCAAACGTTTTAATTTACTACGACAAGCTTTGAATGATTCATCAACAAACGGTAACAAAGGAATGTCCTGCTGTTAGTCTAATACATTATTATACGAAAGCACAACAAACCCAAAGAAATGGCTCTACGTCCGATTTAATTTATAAAAAGTGATACTAACTTGCATTGTTGTTGTTTTTCAGTCACTTGTTCCAAATGTAGCATTATCTTAAGCCAATACAAACAAATTACTTAATTTTAATTATTTAATTCATTAAAACACTATAATTGAACATAAGAAGACACTTCATTTTAAAAGACAAAATAAAGTATAAAAATCTGCAAGAAAAAACAAGAAATTGCTATCAGTCAAATCATTAAGTGTGATTAAGGGATTTCACTGGACCCTAACCCTAACACAAGTCATCAGAAGTGGAAAAACTTTTGCACAACATGCATAACCCAGATTTGGATTTTTTTTTAATTCTATTTGTTTTTTCTGCCAGACTGCATTCCTTTGATCTATTTCTTTTTGACATGCCATGTACCTAAACAGTGGACTCATACTGAGACACTTGCTGCTTCTTAGTTTAATTCATTGATAACAGTCTGTTGATTAGTGTCGCTCTCTTTTTATATCACTGGCGGTAGATACCTGCGCTGACTGTCTGTGCTCGCGTGCATTAGCATCTCAGTGGTACGCTAACATATCTCCTGAATTAATGTTCCTTCTTTGTGCAGTGCATTAAACGGGTGCCGTGACAGCAGCTCTAAACTGAGGATTGTGTCTCAATGCTGTACTGGTTTAATCATTTTCATGTTGTCTTTATCGGACATTTCAGTTAAAATGCTGAACCGGATAATCTTCATGATGCCTCTTGTCAGTAACTGTTATTTTGACCTATGTTGTTCAGAGTCCTCCAGTAGGTTTCAGTAGCATTAAACTGGCGTTGACCATGCTGTCCTTTTAGTTTAGCTTCTGTAAGGCAAATGCTTTGTCTGATTTGCTTAACTGGTCACCTGTTTTCAAATGATTGTTTTGGACATGTGATCTTTTACCAGTAATAAAACATTTGTGAATGTACTTTTTGTATCTGTCTTTATTATCTTCAAACACTGCAGTCTTTACAACTTGTTAAATAAAACACACAAGTAGCATCCAAGAAATTGGGCAATACATAAAGTAGGAAAAGATATGAACAATGAAAATAAAAACTCTGTACATATATCTTAATCTGTACAAATCTGAATGCAAAACAACCTAAGGCTGGACCTGATGTGGTTATGTACTGTTGATACGATAACTAGGTTATTTTTTTTATCTGTGAAATGGCTGGTAAAATATAACACATGACAGTTCTCCACAAAATCAATCACCTCCAATAGTATTTTGTGTTGGTATTTATCATTACATTTGGTTAAAAAAAACTAAATTATCTCCCTACAGTCTATTTAGTAGCTTTTCTGGAGCTTTTGATCATATGGCATGACCTTCATCAGAAGATCGAGTTTGTGATGGTTCTAGATATACAAATGTTTTTTCTATCAAGCACTAAAAATAATTATAGTCAATCAGTGCTTTAAAATTAGAGGCTCAAATGCAGCAGTGCACCAGCAAAGGCATGGAAGAAGGGGTAAAACATTGATGTAAATAATTACAATTTTTAGAACAAAACCAAAAGGGTTGCAAATGTTTTACAAAGAAGGAAATGCTTTAACACAAATAAAAGATCCTTTAAACCCCAACACCTCTTGATAATCTAATAAGTGTCAATAATCAAGCAAAAATGTAAATGCTGGTATAAAACTATTTGACTTGAAGATTTGCAGCTTATCAGATTTTCGTTAAGATCTTGGGCTTTCGATAAAAAAAATGTTGCAACCATTCATGAAAACACTCGTAAAGGTTGTATATTAAGGCAGAGGCACCTCTTCATAGGTGATCTGTATATAGGGAGGCTTCATGGGCAGATGCCAGTACTCAAAGTTGTAGTAGAGGTAGAAGCTCTTTTCTAACACGACCTTCTCATACGCCTCCACCAGACTGACGGCAAAGTCTGGAAACGTCTGATGGGGTCTGAATGTGTGGTAAAATGTACGGATGTCCGCTGCCAGGTTCTTCAGAGCGGGCTGTCCGAAAATGCTGCTGTCGTTGCCGAGGTAGGTGGGCTCCCCGCTGAAGAGGTAGATCTTGGTGTAGTTGGTCTGTGATTTGCTGGAGAGTTTGGCTCCCAGCTCCGTGAGTTTCCTGTACGTGCGGTGGATAAACTGCGAGCAGTCGTAGGAGTCGAACCACACGGTGGCGTTAGGGCTGGGGTCGGAGCGGACTGTCCACGTCTCGTAGTAGATCCCCGTCTCGTTGTCATCCTGCACCCACTGGGTCATGTCGTTGAACTGGTTCCCTGGGAAAAGTAAAAAATACAATAAAAAATTAAGTCTTTTAATACTAGTAATACAAAGTGACAAGCAGGAAGTCCAACTAAGGGAGCCTGAATACGTCACAAAACTGTCTCAGAGATTTTTTTTACCAGTATTCTTCTGCCTTTATTTGATAGTGATAGTGGAGAGAATAAGGAATGTGAGGAAAAAGAGTGAGCAAATGAGAAGCAGCAAACCTTCCAGCCACCCGGGAAACAAAACGATGACTGTTTAGGGAATTTGCACACATGCGGTATGCACACTAACCATTTAACAATCGCTCTGTCACTGCAGTTATTAGCAGAAAAGGTCTTTGCTAGGGCCTATATTCAGCTGGGATCCACACCATTACGAAGGTGTACTGTATGTGGGACTCACTCACAAATAAACTGCAAAATATTTGACGTCATGTGGCTTATATGTGCATTTTTTATAGTTTTATTACAGCAAGGAGTACATGGGATTTGTTGCAACCGATAAAATGTGGATAATCACCAGCCTTATCTTTTAATGTTGTTAGATATCAGACCTGAAGTTCCAAAACTAACTATAACACTGTATTGGTATTGTCTTTGGTCTGTATGCGAAGTGTGTACTAGCAAAAAAGTTACCTGTAAGTTCTCCTATTTTCTCCAAGGTGCCATTTTGGGACCAGTGTAAGTCCTCGATGCCTTCGAAGAAGCAGGCGGCGCCCTGGTTGCACCAGAAAGGCGCGTACTCCTCGGGCCGGATGTGAGGGAAGGTGCAGTTCCCCAGCTGGAACAGCTCATACCACTCCACGGTGAAGTTACTGCCTGTTTCTGAACTGCTGAACCCAATGGCATCATGCATGATATGCTGGGAAGACAACAGAAGCATCATACTGGCTTTTTAGTAGACATGGTGGAAAGATGAACAGCTGTGTTTCATTAATAAACTCACAGGTGTTACTTCTCTTATTACAAGCCTACTACAGTATTTATAATTACCTTTCTGTGTGAGATGTATCACATGATCACATGACATGGAAGCTATTGAAAATAAATGCAGTGTAAAATCTATTCATGAAACATCAGTGATTAAAAAATACATTTACTATATATATTTTGTGCATAATTTTCACTAGGAAGTTAACATGGAGGTACTAAAATAACATGGGTTTTGTGCCATTCAAATAGTAATTTATTATAAGTAACTCAGTTCCAAACCCTGTGGTACAAGCATGGGCAGGGTCTGTGAAACTGAATGTGAATGTCTTGAAACTCAAACCCTGACATTATTGTGGTGAGATCTCAGCAACGTGATAACAAGAGAGTTTAGTACCTACCAATTTCCCCAGTAAATCTCCATACTTGAATTCCCACACAGGAGTTTGCATGCGGTAAACTGAGATGACGTCGCTGTCTCTCATGGAGGGGAGCCGTCCATCCCCGTCTCCGGTGGGACAGAACGGGAAGAGAGCTTCACAGAAAGAGTCTGCAGTGGGACGACTGTCAACCCGTCTGTGGAGAAGGATTGTATACATAACTTTATTTAATTTTTTTTAGTTGTTTTAATTTCTTTATTAAGGAGTGCAGATTTAACAGACAATTCAACAATTTTTCACATTTCCAGGTTTTGGTTTTCTTATTAAAAGGAAATTGCAGAACTAACCCTGTATTGTTACATATAAGAAAACAAACTGAATCTAGAAAGTAACTGGCAAGTAAAGTTGTTTAGGCATTTGTATTGAGTGTTGAGTCTGTAAGTGGTTATACAAATATAACAATTATATGCACAGGCATTAAAAAGATACATTGTAAATGTGTACACAACTAATAAAGACACTATTCTCTTTTAAATGTGTAAGAACAATAACTCAGTGAGAAATAAAGGAAGGAAAGGGAGAAAAATAGCAAGTAAAGTAATCAAATAAATGTAAAAGATATGTGTTCAGAAAATGAAAGGAGTGAGGTAAAATACAAACACATAGCTATTTACTTTCGGCTGATTCAATTAAAATGTGAATCATATGCGACTTAAATGAGATTTCCTAGGTGCTCATTCACACATTCCCAAGAGACCAAAGTTTCCGAAGTCATGTGAACGCACCAGACGTGATACAGTTAACTGATTTCACATCAGCAAAAAGTCAGAATAATAATCAATAATGTTATTTAAGACCAAGTCAGTCTAAAAGGTCAGAAACGATAATCGGAACAAATCTTGTGTAATTTTAACTTTATTTTCTAGCTGTCCCATGACTTCACGGAGCAGAAACAGGATATAAAAGTCTGTATTTTTACCTGTAAGGAACGGGCCACTGCTGCTGTGCATTATTCCTGAAGTGAGCAACAACATGGAGAAACAGGAGCAGGTTCAAACACAGAACAGAACCCGTGTGAGACATGATAAAAACTCTAAAACTGACTGAAAATGCAGAAGTTACGGAGACAGATTTCCCATGATCCTTCCCTTCTGAGCGGACTTCCTCATTACCGGTCACATGGTTTTGTTGATTATCCGAGATCACATGACAGGAGTTTTTTGTGAAAGCAAAGTTGAACAAAATGTTGAAATAAGTAAATAAATACATACAATCATATTTGATGGAAAAATATGTATCAATATTTAATTAGCTTATTTATTTTAATCTCTTATGCTCATTTACCGGTGTTTATTTTTTATTACCATGTTACTTTTGGGCCCTGATGACAAAAGACTAATTGTGACAGTGACACAATTATATAGAATAAATAACTTACTATAAATATAGGAAATAAAATAAATAACAATGGAACAATGAATCAAACAACTGACATTTAAATTAATCAATCAATCGACTAAAAATAAAAACAAAATTAGACTATTAATTATTTTAAAAAATCTACTTCTGTACCTCAATAATTTTGAATGTATTAACATTTAGATTTTTGGTTTTCTAAGCAGTCTTATTATCAACATGATTAAGAAAGGCAAAAGACACAACAAAAATAAATAAACACATACAATCTGCCATTGAACTATTTGGTTTGATGATGTCAAAGGAGCAATTTCATTTATTTCAGAAGAAACTCAAAATAAAAACCCTAAAGATAAGATGCAACTGCAGGCTAGGACACAAGATGGCGATGAAGCTCTGGGAAACCGCTGGTTAGTGAAAGAAAAACAACCGTAGAAGAAGTGTTCGTCCTCCTAGCTGACAGTCCGCTATGCTCACACTTCTACACTGTGGTCGTAACGTACTGACATTCAGGACCATTCAGACAATAAACAAAAGTTACTACAGCTCTCAGATGGCTAAGCGCGTGGCTGTGGTTTTGGCTGGCTGCGGAGTTTACGACGGTACTGAGATCCACGAGGCCTCCGCTGTCCTGGTCCACCTGAGCAGGGGGGGTGCGACTGTAAGTTTGATAGTACAGCTTTCACATGCAACTGCTAAGGTGGCTGTATGCTATGTTGTTTATCTCACAGTGCATTGTTCGACCCACTCTGGCTCTGTTACACAACTAAATTACACACATGTGCTTGTGCATAATGGTTTGAACCGATATGTAGGTTTACAAGCATCAAAACAAAACTCACATGACCATATTGTGTGCTTTGTAAGAGTTATTGGTTGTGGAGTGGGAGGAACTCGTACGTTACTCAGATGGTATACAATAAGGAAAAATAGTTCCGTGTAGAAATGTTTAAGAATCAAGTAAAAGCCCTGCATTCAAATATAAGGTGTTATTTGATTTTTTTTCTCCCATTAGTGAATCCAGTCCTTGTTACCTTATGAGACCAATCAATTAGGTCTTGTACCTTCCAAAGTTGCCTTTATTTTAATGTATAAAACTCCCACTTTCCCAGACAAATGCATTAATTAATTAGTTGTATCAAGTCATTGGCAACAATTCGGACAACTTATCAATTTACTGTATAATTAATCATTTATTAATATATTTTGGTTATGAAATGTTGGTTTGACAAAACAGGCAATTGGCTCACATGATGTTGGTAATACTTTTACGAAGAAGACACTAATCATTATTGCGTGTCCTTATGTTGTCTAGTGTTAGTATGTTTTTATGTTATGAAATGAGTCCTCCCTTTTGCTTTATCCACTACAGGTAAACATGTTTGCTCCCAACATGGAGCAGATGCACGTTGTGAATCACCTGAAAGGCGAACCGTCAGAGGAGAAGAGAAACGTGTTGGTGGAGAGCGCGAGGCTGGCCCGTGGAAACGTGCAAGACCTGTCCAAGCTCAGCGTCAAAGACCATGACGCTATTATAATCCCAGGTTTGATCACAACACGATAAACCTCCAATAAAGGACAATCTACATCATTTCCCGCCCTTGATCTACAACTGCTTGAATGACTCAAATAATCCTTTTTTCATAATGATTGTAGGTGGTTTTGGGGCAGCAAAGAACCTCTGTACGTGGGCGGTGAAGGGGAAGGACTGCTCCGTTAACGAGGAGGTGAAGGCCGTGCTGCAGGCGTTCCACGGCGAGGGAAAAGCCATCGGCCTCTGCTGCATCTCACCTGTCATCGCTGCCAAGGTGTTTCCTGGCTGTGAGGTCACCGTCGGGATTGAGAAGGATGACAAGTGAGTCTAACTTCCCTGTTTCTTTGGAAATACATTGAAAGCAACAAAGACATATTCCTTGTGTTGGTACACCTACAACAGTGCTGATCTTGATTAATATTGTATATTTAAGAATGTTGTGGTTCCATATACTGTAAAGCTCTATTAAGTCTTATAGGCTGTGCTGCTTGGAGCTGAAGACTATACTGACTTGTATCTCTCGCTCTCAGCTAGCGTATTGGGATACATTAGCAGCTGCTAGCTTAACACAAGATGCATTGTTCGTAATTTAGGAGCCACGTAATGCATAACATCAAGTAGTGCAATGCTTATTTGTTGGGGTACACTTTTACCTTCTTATTTTATTATTTTGCAATGTCACTCAAAAGAAGTCTGATAAACAAAAATAGGTTTTTTTTGGGAGAAAAAACAAGATGTGAAGTTCATTTTTTGTCCTAAACGCAAAGTTGTACTTCATAAATAACCGGTTCTGTCTAAACTGCTGCCGTGTCTGATTTCGTAGCAAAAAAGCTTAAATATTTTTGGAAAATGTAAGTGTGTTCAAAATCAGAACCTGCTTGCATATCTGCATTGGAGCAGGTTCATAATTCAATATCATAATGAGCCTTAAAATAGTAACACAAATCTTTACATGTTAATGGTTTCCATCTTTAAGCCTATTTTTCACATGTCCTTTCACTATTCACTGAAAAAAACGTGTATTTCCTTATAAGCAGCTGAACATTGTGTGGTGCTTCTTTCTCTCTCTCAGGTATCCCAACACCACCGACACCGCAGCGGCCATCACCGAGCTGGGCTGCAAACACGTGAACAAGAGCGTCAGCGAGAGCCACGTGGACGAGAAGAACAAGCTGGTCACCACCTCTGCGTTCATGTGCGAAGCTCCAATACACGAGATATTTGATGGAATTGGCACGATGGTGCAGGACGTGTTGAAACTTGCTTGAAATGGCTAATGCTCAAAAATGGAGGCTGTCGTTTTAGAGAGCTTAACAGTAGCTGCCTACTGAACTAACTGATATAATAATGATACAGTAACTCCAGGATTAAAAGCACTTCCAGACATACTACTTAAATATACACATTTGTAGCAGTAATGTGCACTATATGTTCTGATTAATTGAAAAAAGAATCTCCGTTTGAAGTAGTGATTTAGTAATGTGATGTCAATGCAAATCACATTTTCAACAGCAACTAAGTTATTGTAAAGAAAATGCAATAAAATGAAAAAAAACAACTTTTGCTGTTCACTTTATTTCTTACCCCTTGGAAGAAAAATGATCAATACAAATATTTACATTATGATTCTTGTGTTTAAAATATAAAATGTCTTCACACTCGACTCGGTACATCATTTTAATCGCATATTTACAATCTTTGCAAGCTGTCACACTGCTCCTGTTGACTGCTTGTCAACCTGAGATATGAACCCAGGATTGAGCATTCTCTCACTCTTTCCATGTTTCCTACTACGTCGATCAGGCCCTCCACCCCCTCTGAACACAACACTGAAGAAGCATTAACACTGAACTTGTCCTCCAAATCCTCCTGACTCAGTGGCTTCCTCCAGTGGCCGTAAAAGGTATCACATCTGGCTGCGTAACTCTGCCCCAGATCTGTTTCTATCTCAACCTCACAGTACATCTTGTCAAAGCTGGGTCGGTTATCTTTAGGGGTCTCCATTTTCACTTTGGAGAGGAGCTCCTTCAGTGCAGGCCGGTTCATCTGAGCTTCACTGAAGGAAGACACGGTCACTTTGTTATCCAGCAGGGCGGAGGAGGCGTTGAACTGAAATGAGTGCCTGGCTTGGTGCTCTGTGGAAGGCAAGGGGCAGTCGACATACTTGGAGGGAGGCACTCTGAGTGTGACCCTTCTGATCTGCCTGAGGTCAAAGTTTCTGGCCGTGTTTTCAAGCTTTGCCCGGGCTGCCAGCGCTGCATCCACAACCCACTGCATCCCCAGGTGAGCAGGGATGCGTTTGAAGGCTATATCCTGGTCTTCCAGCATCCATTTAAAGTCACCAGAAGCAGGAACTGTCATTGCTGAAGGACTGTAGTCTTTGTAGTAAACCCCAAACCCACTGGGTATATCCAGGATGGCTGGGTTCCCCTCCAGTCCCATCTGGGCCAGCTGGGCGGCCTCCAGCCCTCTGCGAGCAGCGTTCCCGATGTGGAGAGGTTTGGTCTGCGTGGCAGCGTTGGCCAGAGGGGCCCCGGCAGAGGAGGCTGCGATGGCCAGAGCGTGGATGCACTCTGTGGGGGACAGACCCAGGAGCTTAGCTGAGGCTGCAGCGCTGCCCATTACCCCAACTACACTGGGGGGGTGGAATCTGAGAGAGGGGGGAGAAGAGGAAGGAAGAGAAACAAACCAAGAGAACATATTTGAGTTTAAAACATTGATAATTAAGATCAGAGATTAGTGATTGAATAATAAATTGTTATGTAATCGATGAAGTCCTTGAACAAATATTACATTTATTGAGTTTATAAAGTTATTACTGAAGGATTAGCTGGGTTTCACTTGCTCTTGTTTTGTTTGACAAAACAAGCAGCTTGTGAATGGGAAAGACAAATAGTGAATAATTCTTCACTATTTTTTTGACATTTTATAGACTAAAAATGATTATATAATTGATCAAATAAATAATCAGCAGATAAAATATTGGCCCAATAAGTTAGTTTGAACCCTATCTGATTCTTCTGGCAAAAACAACCACCTTTTTCTTATTTATTTTCTACATTTATTTCCTTGGTGTTAGACATTTGTGTCTGAGATTTCTGTTGGCACTATTTGCGGGGTTCACAACGCTACAGCATGGGAACAAGTATTTTATTTAAAAATAATCAACAAACCTTGCTGTTTATGAAAACTCTTGAGAATGAGGTTTATGATTTTTGAGGTGAGGTGTTTCTGGCAAGTGATGTTTCTGTTGGATGTATTTTTTAATGCTGTGATTGGACATACATTTGCATATTCTCTGATTTTGGTCGATATTGCAGAATATCTCACCTCTCAGGGATGTTGAAGGCCTCTCTGGAGAACCTCAGGAGTCGGCCCTGCACTTCAATGCCCACATTGAAGGCCAGCAGCAGGTCCAGACCGGAGGGCCGGCTGGGCAGCGTCTCAGCGAGGGCCAGCAGGGCGGGGAGCACGGCCCCCGAGGGGTGAGTAGCCGGGTTCCACGTGTCGTCAAAGTCCATGGAGTGAACCTGTTACCACACAATGAGACAGAACAGATCATCGGAGGTCAAACCACCACATCATCTGTATGTTTTCTATATTTTATGATGTCATTTATTTGATTGAGCTTACCGCTATGCCATTGACAAATGCAGCGTAAGTAGGAGGAAGAGTGATCTGGGATTTACCCCAAACACTGCTCCTCTCGTCAGACTTGAAGGACTGTAAGCAGACAATATTGTGAGGATCAGTAACAGTACAAATGGATGTTACTCTAAGCTTGTTGTTAATTTCTATCAAACAATTATAAAACAAATGGCAGCCAAAAAGGGAAAATAACTAACAGGCCTGAAGAAGCACAGGAAGCAGAATTATAATGACATAATCTAATTAAAAAAAGGAAACTAATCACAGTACAATCGATATATTTGACAGGTGTTAAAGACAGTAGCTTAGTATTTTAGTTTATTTTGACACCTTCTTATGAGGGCAAATAAAGAGAGATTTAATGGTGACAGTTTGATACTAAGACAACAAGATTTATAGTATTTGGAATGCTTCTTAAGTAATAAATCATCTTCATTTTTTCTCATTATTTTTTTTTTTAAATGATGTTATACATTGCCATATTTGAGCAGGTTTAACATACCCACACACAGTAGAGCAGTTTACTGTACCTGGCTGTACGTGAGAGCCTTGTTAAAGACAGCTGTCCTGCTGCCTATTAGCCCAACACCCAGGGTGTCCAGCATCATCCTTTTGCTCCTGCTAATCACACCATCTGTCAGCTTGGTGGTGTTTAGAGCATGGATGGCAGCGCCAAAGCTCTCTGTAATACCCTGCAAAGGTGAGACAGGGCCAGTCAGATCAAATGCAAACCACCCCAGAGAGAGTGCAGTGGTAAAGGATCGAACAAGTACAAGTATTTCAAAAATATGCCTAATATATGATATTAAATACTCAATATGTCACTTAATTTAATTTAAAATACTTAAAAAACCAAAAAAAAAATAGATAAAAGACGAAAATAAACATAAAAAACAAACATACCTTACGTAACATTGTTTGGAGCAAATGTCTTCAAGTGAGCAAACATTGCAGTGCAGCCGACTTTTATAGGTAATCACTCTATCTGAAGGCTGGTCTACCAACTTTCCAAAGTGGCTAAAGACCGACACGATGGGAAGTAGGAACTTTCACAATGACTAGACGGGGTCAAACTAAATCAGTTGTTTCTGCAATTTCTTGAAAGCCATATCTTAGAAAATTAAAGAAGTGGTATAAAACAGCCTATGTTAGTTGTGTTTGCGATGGATGCATGTTATAAAGGAAATCACAGACGAAAGAAATACAAATCATCACAGTGAACTGTTGGCTATTATTAAGTCTGCTGAAATATATAATAATAATAATAATAATAATAATAATAGTAGTAAGATTACTTTATTTTTGTATTAAGTGACCATCTGACTTGGGCAGAGCATATTATCTGCTGTCTTTCACAACAAGTTCTTAGATGACAGATAGTGGAAATTCAGCTCTCAGCAATGGGAAGTTTTGAACAGGGAAATGAGCCTCAACCAACAAATGGGCAGCACATGACAAGAGGATGTGCAATTTCAAACAGCTGGGAAATCTATATTTACAAACCACACACTTTGACCGTAGTTGTTTAGAAAGATTTAAGTCTGTATTTATACACAGGAGGAATAACCCTCACTGACCTTGCTATAAATAACATGTTCCTCAAATACTAATTTTCCAATAAAAGTACAAAATGTTTGTATGGGCAGGTTTGCATCACAATGCTGCATCTTAAGCATTTCATGTTTATAAGTAACGTTTATTAGTATAGATGGAGTCAAATGTACAACATTTCCCTCTGGCAAGTGAGGTGGAAACACGGGAAGCTGCACACAATTAATATACTCAATGTAAAAGTATGTTGAAGTACAGCAAAAATGTAAATGTAGTTACATCCATCCCACCACAGCTAACCTTCTTGACTGATACCCGACATATTCAATTAGAAATTTGAACCTTGATGGTCAGTATTTTTGTATCTCCTAAGTTGTTCAAAGGGCTGTTTGAGAGTTATCTGTCCGTGTGTGTGTGTGCGCGCGCGCATGTGTGTGTGTGTGTGTGTGTGTGTGTGTGTGTGTGTGTGTGTGTGTGTGTGTGTGTGTGTGTGTGTGTGTGTGTGTGTGTGTGTGTGTGTGTGTGTGTGTGTGTGTGTGTGTGTGTGTGTCGTGTGTAGTAGA